AAAAAGCAACAGTGGTTTTTGTTTGGGTGGAAATAAGGAAAAAGATAATTTACATGGAATAAAGTCTGTCTCTGGCTTGACAGATATAGACCATTTCATGTGAAGGAGAAGCATATCTCTCCACACATCTGTCACAGTGGGTGGACTTAACTATTTGCTTCTCAGGCTTTTTATTTTGTGTATAGCGTGTTTGTGAATGTCTAAATGCAGGTGCATGAGTGCCACAGTGCACATCTGGGGGTCGAAGGACAGCTTTTTTGTCCTTCCTCCTTGAGGCAGAATCCCTTGTTTGTGCTGCTGTGCATTCCAAGCAAGCTGATGGGTGAGCCTTCTGGCTGCTTCTGGCTCTGCTTTTCTTTCGTCTCAGAGCAGAAGTGGAGTGTCATGTTTCTGTCTTTTTATGTGGGTGTCAGAGACAGAATGCAGGCTCCCAGGCTTGGACGGCTAGTGGTTTTATCCACTGAGCCCTCTGTCTGGCTAGACTCTTAGCTTCAGCTGGCTGATGAAGAAACAGAACTGTACAAGATTACTGTCCAAACAACTAGCAGGCGGTGGAGTCAGGATTATTTTTTTCCTGGTTTAGAGTCTTGTTAATATTTGCACTGGTTCTTTTTGACTTTGGAAAATAGCAATTGCAATAACTACCTCCTGCTGGGTGTTTATATACTTTGCATATATGTTCTACTTAATTATCAGTTCAGTGCTTACGTAGGTATTACTGACTGTTTTATGGATGAGAAGACTGCGATGTGAGGAGGTTAAGTATACTTTTGCCAAGTACACTGAACATTTTAGATTACAGCCTATAGTCATGTGCTGTACAAAATGTGGAAGATATGAGTGCTCAGAAAATTGAGTAGTTTAAGTGAAATGGCTAATTCTAGTTGCATCAATGTTTATCTTGCTTTAAAACAGTTAGTTAAGAAAGCCAAGAAATAAACAGACTTCTTTTATCAGGTGGTGTCTTGTACTGATGTCCCATTTTGCAGCACAATTTCAAAAGTTATTTGTTTTGATAGAGTTTAAAGATAGAAATAAGGTGGTGGGTGGGCTATAGCTCAGCAAGCAATGTTCTTACCCTCAAACGTGAAGACTGATGTGCAGATTCTTAGAACTGAGTGGCTAGGCAGCTTGTCTATAATTCTAGGTCCCAGAAGGCCCAGACACGGCTGGAAGCAAGCCGGAGGAGGAGGAGCTGTATCAGAGAGTCCTGGGTTCAATTAATTAGGCAGAGGGTGGTTGAGGAGGCCTCTCAGTAATCAGCCTCAGGCCTCCACATGCATCCACACACGTGCACACTCATATACACAGGCATACGTGAACATATATACACATATATACGTGAACAGGCACACAGACCACATGGACAGATACTTGCGAAAACAGTGTCTAAACTCTGCAGCTACAGCTCATCTGCACATTCATGGTGGTCTAGTCTGTACCTCCACAGGAGGATCAAGAGATTACAAGCATGTGCGCTGTGAAGCAATGTTCTTTCCTAAGGTGATGCTCTTACAGTCAGTGGACTCAGTGAAGGAAAAGTGCTGAGAGTGAAGCCATTTTTAGTACCCTGGTAAGTGGAGAGGCCCAGCTTTTGTGCTGAGTGTCTTAGATTCCTATTGTGGTGAGTAAAATGCCTAATGAGGTGTGATGTAACTATTTCTTTGTAAGCGTTCGTTTTTTTCCATAACAAAAAGTTTTAACTATTATCTGGAACCCTCGGTGGAGTACCTTCCTCTTCCTCCTGGAACAGTGCCACCAGTATAACCTCCGACAGACAGATGGCAATGCTCTGTCTGTGGTCTCCTAGCCACAGGTCCTGCTACTGAACTTGGAATGTGTGTGACTGAGAAGCTGAAACTGTTGAGATATAAGCATGTGGCTAGTGGCTTTTGTGGCCCCCGAATTAGACAGTGTGATCCTAGAATAGAAATAAGTGCCATTCTTGTTTAAGCTAAAATTCCAGCTGCTCAGGGTGAAGGTGGCTGACAAGCTACACCTCTGTATCTGGAGTGACTTGACCTCTCTGAAGAACGCCTCCCGTGTTTTCCTTTGGGGACCAGTGGGACTCATGTGGCTGGCTTGAACACCTTTGGCAGTTAACATCATGGTTTTCTGTGACTTAACCTTTGGCAGATTCAGAGGCGTTTCCTTCCTGCGTAGTGACCTAACTCCATGCTAAGGGTCTACAGGATAGAACACAGAATTGACTATAAATAAAAGTGGCCTTTGAGCTACTGTCCACTGCTACAGGTCCTCCATGTCTTCCACGGAAAGGTGTAGACTAGCACCTAGACTTTAGAGAGTAAGCAGCAGAGCGGCAGGAGCAGAGATGGTGTCACAGTAGAATTCACACAGTGGAACATCACTTACGCCACTGACCGAGCTCTTGTGAGTGCTAGAATTAGCAATTAAAGTAGGGCATTAAAGTGTAAGCTCTTTTACCAAATAAACTGACACTCTTGGGGTAAGTGAGAAAAAGACATTAGTCAGGGGTAATGCTGGCAGGCCAGAGCTAATGGCCTCCTCAGGACTATTATTTTGAGAGCAGGTATTTCAAAATAATTTCACTGTTACATGCTGAGCACAACAAGCTATCCCTCCAGCCCCTCCACGACCATTTTCACCACATTCCGTTTAGCCTCTTCTGGAATTTCGCACATATAGAATCATATACTGTATACCCTGGTATTATTTATTTCCAAATTGGTAGTTCATTCACGTACTTTCAAGGGAAAAGAATACTACTTTAAGCCTTTGGATATTCATTTAAAAAAATCGTCTTCCTATCTCTGGAAATGCTTCACTCTTAGTTACCCTGTCTTCCACTTATAAAACAACCAGTGTTCATAGTTATGTGGGCATCCGTGGCTATCTTTATCTATGCTTCTTAACGGGGACGTTTGAGCACTCTGTTTTAATTAAACATTACCCAAAGAATCTTCAGACACTAAAGTAATTTAAAATCTATTTTTATAATAACTAGTGCTCTTCTTAGGTTCTGACTCTAAATGTCAAAGCGTGACATTTACCTGCGCTGTCAGTAACCTTCGAGCCGTATGCTGTTTGAGTCAGGTACCTATGATTCTCAAGTTTCTTGAATGAATGTAAGTATATGACTATGAATCAAGTAAACCCAAGCTCCTGGCTTTATGGGGCCAGATGTTAGAGAGAGATTAAAAATTCCCAAGAATCCTATAACTACAGTGTCCTGGAAAGTGATTAGCAGGGTTAACATAGGCGGGTCATCAAGAGACATTTCTCAGAGCCAGAGACTAAGGCCCAGTTAAGAAGGTGAGGCCAGGAAAACTTCCCAGGTATTAGAAGTTTGCAAAAACTCTTGTGAGGGAGGAAAGGGGTCAGAGAGATTAGGTGTGGCTGGAGAAAGAGGAGAATCAACATGGGAGAGGAAAGCCAGAGAGGTAGGCAAGGTGCCTAGCCCTGAAGGGCTTGGTTAGAGGCTTTTTTTTTTTTTCCCAAGAGAATGAAACACTGGACAGTGACAAGGTCACATGATACAGTATTTGAACAAACATTCTTCCTGTGGTGTGAGATTTGGAGAAGGGTAGGAGAGGACGTGGATAAATTAACAGGTTAGGTCAGCGTCCTTACACTCTACCTGCAGGTCAGGGTAATTTTAACTAAGGTGACTGGTGATGAAGATGAGACAGAGTCAAGGAAACTTTAGCAAAAAATAAAAGCAAAGAATTTGCATATAAATTGGAGAGATGGATTCTACATTTTATTTATTTATTTTTGCTATGGTAGATGCATTAAATTAGGATGAAGTGTTTTGTTTGTTTGTATTTTGAGACAGGGGTGGTGTGTGTCTCTGTGTTACCTTGGCTCTCCTGAAACTCGCTTTTTAGACCAGGTTGGCCCTGAACTCAGAGATCTGCCTGCCTCTGTCACTCAAGTGCAGGGATTAAAGGGGTGCACCACCACTGCTTAGTACAATGAAGCTGTTACATTGTCATTAAAAACCCGGCCTAAAGTTATGCAAAAAAAAAATTGCCTCAGACTATTTTGAAAATCTCAAAGCTGGGTGGAGGACATGGTTTTACTTCCCATTTCTTATATCCTAATCTTGTTGAAAAATAGTCTTTTCTAGAAGTGCTTATGATAGTGGAAAATTTTCTGGACAGGTCTTAACAAATATGTCAAACTCAGTAATATCAGATTAGTAAACAATTTTGGAGCTTTTCTGACTGAGTGATGATAATTACTATCCTTTTCGTCACTTTTAAGTGTGTAACAAAAAGTGATTTATATTGCCTTTTGCTCTTCCTGAGACAGGACCCAAATGAATAGGCTGTTTTTGTCCCGAACTAAGTAATTTCCTTCTAAGAATTTCTTGGTTGATGTTGGATAATTGCCCACCCTCTGTCGGACTCCGAATAAACCCACGGTGTCCAGAGGACTGCTTGGTGGAAGACCTGTTTTACCACCGCCGAGAGCCATTTGATGAATGTTAAGTTTTTGGGAGTGGGACCTGGAGCTGCCCTAGCAAAGGGGCGCGTCCGCTGTGCGCGCCCCAGGCCGGGCAGCCCGCCGCCGATGCTCGCCCCGGGGGCTCCGAGGGGGCGTGTCTTGTGCTGCCCTGACTGGCGAGGGACGGCTCAAGCGACTGGAAGTCAGCAGTTTGCGGGGCCGAGGGCTGGGCGCTTGGGAAGAGGGGCGGAGGACCGAGAGGGATCTCCCCGCCTCCGCTCCCCTCCGTCCAATCCCTTCTACTTTGCTTCGGCTTCGCCGGCGCAGCCGGGGCCCTAACCTGCTCGAACCCATTCTGCGGTAGAGGCCGGCCGGGGCTCTTTAAGGCCCTGTCCGCGCCTGCGCCCTGGGCTTTCCTGAAGCGGCCGGTCCGGAGCCGGGCGGAGCTGGCGGGCGCGGGGCTTCGCGGGGTCCTCCCGAGTCGCCGGCGGTACAGGGTCGCGGGCATCTCCGGGTTCCCGAGCGAGAGGCGCGCGCCAGGGAACGTGGGGGACGCGGCCTCCGAGGCCGAGCCGGGCCGAGGCGCTGGGAGGCGGCGGCGGCGGGGCCGCCGGCTGGATGGGAAGTTCATGTTGACGGCGGAGTCCACCTCAGGTTTCCAAGGTGAGGGGCGCCGCGCCAGGCCGGGCTGCGGCGAGGGAGGGCGCGGGCGCCGCCGAGGGCCGCGCCGCCGACCCGGACCGCCGAGCTTGCAGCGCGAGCCCGTCGGGGCCTGCGATCCCCGCGCTTGCCTGGCCTCAGGGCCTGTCCTCGAGGACACCGCGGTCCGCCGCGCCCTGCTCGGAAAGTTGACGTCTGTATTCGGCCTGAGGCGGCAGCGCGTGGCGGCGGCCGCCGGCAGGTGACGGGCGAGCCAGGTGTGCGGAGCGACGGCGCACCGAGCTCCCGAGCACAGGGTCGCCCTTCGCCTAACGGGGCTAGCCTGATTAACCGCGGGTTTCCGGTGGGTCGGATTGCGGTGGTGGCGTCTGCGCTGCTGACTCCGACCTGAGATCCTTTCACCAGAGAGTTAAGCAAAAGTTCTGGACCAGTTCCCTCGCTGTCCTGTTTCTGCTGGAGGGGATTTTGAAGAGCAACAAGCGGGTTTCTTTGGAGAATAATAACCTCTTTTTTTCCGCCGAGAGAATGTATTCATTCCAGAGGCTTCCTGAAGTTAGAGGAACAAGAGTAGTTTTTATCTTTGCACGGTGTTTTTTTTTTCTTTTCTTAGTAACAATTTCTCCGTGTTCCAGAACTTTGCTTTCTGTAAAACAGAAAATGTTCGCTTTCTATGATAAGTTTGTGTCAAGGAAATATTAGAAAATTTATTCAAGTTTATCTGGAGTAGAAGATCACAATTTTAAGTTTTTAGGTAATGAGTTTTAAGTGTCAAGGAAATATTAGAAAATTTATTCAGGTCTACCTGGAGTAGAAGATCACAATTTTCAGTTTTTAGGTAATGAGTTTTTTTTTAATTTTTATTTATTTATTATATAAGTACACTGGAGCTGTCTTCAGGCACTCCAGAAGAGAATGGGATCTGATGCCATTCAGATGGTTGTGAGCCACCATGTGGTTGCTGGGAATTGAACTCAGGACCTCTCGAAGAGCAGTTGGTGCTCTTAACCACTGAGCCATTTCTCCAGCCCAGGTAATGAGTTTTAAGTGAACCAACACAAGCCAACAAGGACTTACTAGGTTGGGATATATATCTCGGAGGAGTGGAATTACTTTTTTTGTTTGGTTTTGTTTCTGGGTCAGAGTTTTGCTATGTAGCCCAGGCTGTCCTCATACTCCTGCTGTCGACCTCCTTGCAGTATATTGCCACTATTTCTGGTAGATTATTCTTTTTTTTTTTTTTTTTTAAATTTCTGGCTTTAGGTTCTGTTGGGCCTTTTCTCAAGATGGTTGTGCCATCTAGTAGTCAGTGAAACTCCAGTTATTCCATACTTACTGATGATGCTTATCTTCTTCAAAAAATGCTACTATTTGGGTGGTGGTACAGTACTTTATCAGTGTGTGACTTTATTTTGTGTGATTGAGTTTGAGAATATTAGCCATTTTTGTATTAATCTTTTGTGAATCGCCTCTTTTACGAATTATGCTTAGTTTTTCCTTAACTTTCTTTTCTATTGTTACATGCCATTTGGAGTAGCTGAACACCATCCAAGTGGGATGCTAACTACTCCTTTGTCCAGCATATCTAGGCTGTATACCGTTAGTTACTCAGTAACTGTTGGGGTTTTCAGATGGACTGCTCTGCCATCTCCCTGCTTGTGCTGAAGTGTCCCTTATTTTACTAATAATGGCCCCCAGTGGAAGAGTACTTCCTTTTGTACTTGCCAAAAGTGGGGCTGTTAATTGTTCCTTTGAAGTGAAACAGTGACTATTGTTGACTTAACAATAAAGAAGTTGTGTGGTATGGATGTTGCTAAGAAAAATCTTCAGTCTGTAAAATCGTGAGGAAGGATAAAGGAGTTGTGATAGTTTTTCTGTAGCACTTCAGCATGCACAGCAGCCACACTGATGAATTTCCAGGGAAGGGGCTGTGGGAGCTTCTGGGGAGCTACTGATGTCTTAGAATGCATGTCCCGTGGATACGGGACCAGATACATCTGGTTGCCAGTTTCTGAAAGCTGGGCAGAGGAAGTGGTCAGTGGGTGGCTGCTGTTTGCTAAAAACACTTCTGCTTAATCCCTTGGCTGTCAGCCTTGAACTTCACTCTGCTTGGTCTGGAGTTACTCCACGTTAGTGTTTCCAGGAATAACTTATGAGAGGTTAGGAATGGGATCCTAGAAAGCCTAGCTGTTCCCCTATACAGTCTCAATGTCTTTGTGTCTTTACCACTGACCTGGGGTGATTCAGGTCCTTAGTCTTTCTGGGCTTTTGTGATTGGGCCAAAATAGTTGCTTCCTTGGCCATATATATATATATATTCCCATTTGTAAGCTAGAAGGTTCAGCTTCCTCTCCTCAGTCGTTTGCTCATCCATCTCTTGTCTTGTTTTGTAGATATCTTGTTTTGTCCGGTCTGTCTCAGGAAGGTAAAGATTTCATTAAGCTTTGTTTTCTTTGCTTAGTTTGCTTCCTCCAAGTTAACTTTCAACTTGGTATTAGTGCTTGATTGTTAGTGGGTCTTCTCATGACTGCCTGACAGTCTCTTGTTTCTCTGTTCATGGTTAAGAGAAAGACAGCTAATCAGAAGGAAGACCAGAGTTTATAAGTAGGAGTTACTAATGTCCAGATTTACCCTATAATCTCATTTCAGGCAAAAGTTTTCAACTTTCCCTGTATTTTAGAATATCATGGCCGGGCAGTAGTGGTGCATGCCTTTAATCCCAGCACTTGGGAGGCAGAGGCAGGAGGATTTCTGAGTTCGAGGCCAGCCTGGTCTACAGAGTGAGTTCCAGGACAGCCAGGGCTACACAGAGAAACCTTGTCTCGAAAAACAAAACAAAACAAAACAAAACAAAGAATCTGGAGCTTCCTAATCAGCTAGGCTGGCTAGCAAGCCCCAGGGATCCTCCCGTTTCAATCTCCAGTGCTGGGATTACAGCTTCCTGCTGCTTTGTGCCCAGCTTTTTCTGTGGGAAATGAGGATGTGAATTCAGGCCCCTGGGTTTGTACTGCAAGCACTTGACAATTGAGCTATCTTACCAGTCCCAGCAAAACTATCAGTGTTTTAGCCGTGTTTTTATGAAGAAGCAAACTAGGTTGTATGTTCAGTCTGAAGTCTGACTCGGATGTTTCCCAGCTGCCTTGTGTTATTATTATATATACGTTCTCTCCCTCTCCCTCTCTGCTGCCAGGAGGGAGATGACCTATGCTCTTGACCAAACACCACCCCCTACTCTCTCACTCTCTCCCTGTCTTTGTCTCTTTGTTTCCTCTTTGTCTTGGCCTAGGCCTAGGTTGAACTTCTGAGCTCACTATGTGACCAGGCTGTCCTGGAACTCACAGACTGACGTCTTTCTGCTTCTGCCTCCCGATTAACAACGTGCACCACCACACTTGGTGAGCTTTTTCTTTAAAACACGTGAGGTGGTCAATGAGATGACTCAGCAGGTGCTCTGTGTCTTGATGACCTCAGTTCCATCTCCAGAACCCACATGGTAGAAGGTGAAAACTGACTCTTGCTAGTTGTCCTCTGTGTGTGTGTGTGTGTGAATCTACACACACTATAATATCAATTTTCTTTTCAAAACCCTTGTAAGCCAAGTTTGTTCTTTTTCCTTTCTTTACTTTTTTTTTTTTTAAGTTTGAGACAAGGCCTCCCTGTGGAGCCCTGGCTGTCCTGGAACTTGCTATGTAGATCAGTCAGGCTGGCCTTGAACTCAGGGATTTTGCCTGTTTCTGTGCTAGAATTAAAAGTGCACCATCATACCTAGTCTAGTGACAGAAATTTTGAGACAGAATTTTCACTCTGTAGTCCCTGCTAAAGTAGAAAGTAGAAATAACATGTATAATATGTTTCTTTTAGGTGAAGCTTATATAATCTAAACTATACACCTTTTGTGTGTGTGTGTGTGTGTGTGTGTGTGTAATGTGTGGGCCTGTGCATACATATTTGCATGTGTGGGTGCCCGTGTGTGTGCACGTAGTTTTGGAGGCCCTCCTATCACTTTCTACCTTATTCACGGAGGCAGGGTCTCAATTAAACACAGAGATTACTGATAATGGGTAGTCTAGCTTGGGGGAATCCCCTGTTTTCTTAAAGCGTTCTGAAATTTCAGGCAGGCCTCCTTGCTCACCTGGCATTTACTTGGGTGCAGGGGATCCGAACTGTAGTCCTCACATTTGCATGGCAAGCATTTGACTTACTGAACTTCTCCCCAGCCCAGGATAGACCTTTAAATTATCTCTTGTCACTTTTTTTTTGTATTAAAATATCTTTATCGCCGGGCGGTGGTGGCGCACGCCTTTAATCCCAGCACTTGGGAGGCAGGGACAGGCAGATTTCTGAGTTCGAGGCCAGCCTGGTCTACAGAGTGAGTTCCAGTACAGCCAGGGCTATACAGAGAAACCCTGTCTCGAAAAACAAAACAAAACAAAACAAAAAAACAAAAATCTTTATGAAATCTGTGCTGCTAAATAGATTTTTTTTTTTTTTGGTACTATTTAGCCACTGAACTTGTGAGCCCCATGGTGCCCTTCACAGTGATTTTTAGCAAGCTTTAACAATACAAAGTGCCTGAGGTGCTTACCACTGCTCAAACCCTTCCTGTTTTGCTACATTACAATCATTTTTCTTTTATGTTTATATGTAACGCTCAAGATGCCAGTCAGAAATGACCTTGGCAATTCCTGATCACCATGGTGGTATGATAGTCCTTCCTCATAAACATGTCAGTTAATTTTGTGTTTGCAGGTAGACTTTGTTGGCTTTGGTCTCTTCAGTTTTCTCAGGATGGACTGTCCCATCGCTTATTCCTGCACTTGATTACTCTGTTTACTGTTTGCACCCTAACTGCCTATTACTGTAACTAACTGTCCTTGAGACCCTTCCCTGCTCTGCAGTCTGCAGGTTATTACTGCTCGGTACACGGCAGCCAAGCTTACATCGCCGTGGCTCATTCACCCTTTGAGGGCTGCAGACAATGCCGGTTAAGAACTTGTTCATTGTTCTTTGTAGTCTTCCAACACTTGCAGCTGTGTTCTGAAAAATGTTCTAAAACTGGCGAAACTGGCCCTAATCTGGGCTTTCTTTGTTGATTTTCCTCTTGATGGTCCTGCAAGTTCATTATTAGGATTCCTGAAGGACTGTCTCGTTCTGTGTTCTACATCTGTAATGAGAATTAGTATGGAGCTGACCTTTTGGTGGGTAATTGTTTTCTGTCTTTTATTTGTTTAAGGGAAAACTTTATAAGGCACTGGTGTAGACATGAGGATGTAGATTGTGACTCTGAATCGGTGCTGAAATGATGAGTTGATATCTTTGACCTAGTATAGATATTTTGTCATGTCAAAGATAAATTCAGGTTGGGCGGTGCTGGCGCACGCCTTTAATCCCAGCACTTGGGAGGCAGAGGCAGGTGGATTTCTGAGTTCGAGGCCAGCCTGGTCTACAGAGTGAGTTCCAGGACAGCCAGGGCTACACAGAGAAACCCTGTCTCAAAAAAACCAAAAAAAATAAATAAATAAATAAATAAAAAAAATTGTAGCTTTAATAAACGATTATGTAACATGATGTGAAAGAAGAAAGATGTGTCTTCAGGTGTAACATAGTAGGAGGCTCACCCATGATTTGATGGTGAAAAGACAGAGCTTGAAGTTGAGGATGAATTTTACAGTAAAAAACTAAATATTTTATTATTTGCATGTATATGATGTATGTGGACATGTATTTGAGACTTTTTGTGGATCTGCCTGAGGTATAAATAAGATATGGAGACTTTTGTGTGTGTGTGTGTGTGTGTGTGTGTGTGGGTGTGTGTGTGTTTCGAGACAGGATTTCTCTGTGTGTAGCCCTGGCTGGCCTCGAACTCAGAAGTCCGCCTGCCTCTGCTTCTCAAGTGCTGGGATTAAAGGCGTGCACCACCACTGCCCGGCATATGGAGACGTCTAATATAGGTTAAAGCTTAGGCATTTTGCTGGGGCAGTCTCCCAGCTACCAATCAAATTTAACCAACTATTCTAGCTTATGACCTGCCATGTCTGTCCCTTTCTGTTCCTTCTGAATCTCCCAGGATTGCTTTCCTCTCCTTGTGTCACTCCTCTGCCCAGAAGTTCCGCCCTCCTCCTTCCCGCTCATGCTATTGGCTGTCAGATCTTTATTACAACCAATCAATAGTGAGACAATCTCTGAATCTTCGGCTTGCCTTTAGGCAGGTGAAGAAGGCCGAATATTTACAAAATTTGAAAACCTGGTGATGGGCCATAGAAATGACAGTACTAAAATTCTTCTAGCACTTAGCTCTTTGCTGGTACAGTATTAACAATGAAAAATACAGAAGCACATTTTCACATAGTGTGAAGAAAGGTTAGACGAACAGACATGTGTGTACCATAGCACATGTGTACATGTAGAAGAGCCCTGTGGATCCCATGTTCTCCTTCCACCTTTTTGTAGGTTTAAGGGTTGAACTCAGGTTGCCAGGCTTGTTCACTGAGCCATCTCAACTGTCTCTGGAGGATGGTTTTGAGAATAAATATGTGAGAAATACTCTGGGTATTTATTTGGAATTCCTGTAATAGGTGAGAACAAAAGTAAAGATGCTGAACTTTTTTCTTTTTGGGTTTGTTATACTTCCAGATAGAGAAGGTAATTGAAGTTGTCAAGTAGCCTGGTGCATTTGTATGTCACACATAAGGCTAGTAGAGTGAGTTAGGACATGTGGCCAAGTCCAGGAAACTCAGGCTTAACTGGCTCAATGTCTGTTTATCAAGCATAAAGGTATGTATGGGGAGGTCAACGTACTGTATTTTGTCTACATGGACAGAATTCTTTGCTCACAAGACTTAAAAACTGAGGGAAGACTCAGTTGATATATCCTTGTTTCTAAGCAGGAATATGACACACCCTCCTCCCTCCAAGACAGGGTTCCTCTGTGTAGCCTTGGCTGTCCTGGAACTCACTATGTAAACCAGGCTGCCCTTGAACTCACAGAGATCTGGCTGCCTCTGCCTGCCAAGTGCTGGGATTAAAGGTGTGTGCCACCACTACCTGAAGTGCACTTTTTATTTTAAAAGGGTGATTTAGTGTTTGTTTGACTTTATTAGAGCTTTCTGTAACTAGCTGAAGAAAAATGTCTAGTAAATTAAAAGTTTTACAACGTTCTAAAAACTAACTTAACTAACTAAATTTGTTTATATTTTGAGTCAGGGTCTCTCTACATTGCCATAGCTGGCCTTGAACTCATGAGGTCTGCCTGCCTTTACCTTCTGAGTGCTGGGAAAAATTTTACATCTTAATGCTTCCTTTTTTTTTAGTCAGTGCTTGGCATCAAACCCAGAGCCTTGAGAATGCTAACTATGTGCAAGCTACTTTTGTTAGCCTGCTTTTGCTTCTAGAGGGCTGAGACTGCAGGTGTGGACCATTACACTTAGCTCCATGTGTTGGGCTGTGACAGACACAACACATGTCTTATTCATCCCAGATAGGGAGCCCAGGACAGACTAATGTATAGCCACCACCTGTAACTAGGAGCTTTTTCACCTGGCCTCTTTGTACTCAGAAATAATGTCTCTGAGACTTAATATTTCATGATTAAATGCCTAGACTTTAATGAATAAAGGCCAAAAATGTTGGCTTGTTCCCCAGCTGGCTTGTAGAAGTGAATTATCCATTTATTCCAGTCTGAGTCCTGCCACATGATTGGTCACCTTGTCTCAGTTTCATGTGACCGGCTTCTTGGTTTGGGGTGAGCCTCCAGTGCCTCACTCTTGTCTCAGAATTCCTCTCTCTCTGTGGGATGTCCCACCTCATTGGCTACAGGCTTTTTATTGACAGGTGATTAACAGAGTCTCTACAACCACCAAAGTCAAACGGTGATTCAGTGTGTTTTATTGGAATTGTTACAGGGATATGGATGAGAAGTTATTTACAGGAACAGAAATAACTCAAAGACAACTGCATCACCAAAGCCTACCCCTGCATGGTTGACAGCTCACAGAAGCCGGGAACCTCGGGGAGGCTCAACAGGGTGGAGAGTGTCCTTTCCAGGTGACTTATTCTAAAGCTCTTCCAGGCAGCTGGGCTGGTTTCTGCTCCCCCCCAACCCCCCTCCCCCAACATCCCCCCTCCCCCTCAGCTGTTCTTGTCTGCCATAGCATTCATTTCAGCTTGGATTGTCTGAGAATGACTCTGAATCTAGTCAGTTTCAGGAACTTCCTGAAGCTATTTTGAATTATCTAAAGGAGTTTCCCTGCAGGATAGAAATAATCCCATTTTTCCAGTTTGTCCATCTCAGTATTTTAATTAAATTTTCTAAAAAGGTATCAGTTGAATGGAATTCTCAGGCATGACATGTTTTTGTTTGTTTGGTTTTTTTTTTTTTTTAAGATTTATTTATTTTTATGAGTATGGGGTAGCTGTCTTCATACACACCAGAAGAGAGCGTTGGATCTCATTACAGATGGTTATGAGCCACCATGTGGTTGCTGGGAATTGAACTCAGGACCTCTGAAAGAGCAATCAGTGCTCTTAACCACTGAGCCAACTCTCTAGCCCATGTTTTTGTTTTTATGTCTTAAAGTTATAGCTGACCTTCTTATCAGTAGCTTATAGTTGATTAGATATTTATTTTAGGGCTGGTATTATGTGGCTCAAGCATTTATTAGCTAAAACATGTTGGGGAAATTGTTGAGCTTCACATGCTTCAGAAAACTCTATCTCAGTGAGGATTAACTAAGATGTGAATGTGAAGTCTTATCTGAGGACCTGGTGCATAGTAATGCTGACAGATGAGTGTGGAGGCAGCAGCTGGAGCTGGCCTGCTCAAGTTCTGCTTTTCTGAAATTTAGCTTCACAGTGACATTGAAGGAAAGGAACTTTCACTGCTGTTGTGTTGTTTCTTTTTTTTCCCTTTCATCATAATTTCTATGAATTGTTAGACTTTTCCCAGTGTTTGTTGTATTCTTACATTCCATTTCTCAGGCAGCTGTTAACTCGTATAAATGACAGGCATGCTTTCAACCCAGGGATGGCCTGGCTCTTCATCAATGCCATTGAAAGCTTATTTTTGTTTTTGTTCTTGAGATTGGATCTCGAGTGTTCTGTGTGCTAGATGTGTGCTCTACACTGAACTGTATGTACTGTTTATCCCTGAAAGTCATAGTTTTAAATTTTTTTAAAAAGATTTATTTGCTGAGTGCTCTACCTGCATGTACACCTGCAGGCCAGAAAAGAGCATCAGAACTCATTACAGATGGTTGTGAGCCTCCATGTGGTTGCTGGGAATTGAACTCAGGACCTCTGGAAGAGCAGCTGGTCCTCTTAGGTGCTGAGTCATCTCTCCAGCCAGGCTCAGTTTTAAAATTCTTTTTTGTGCATATTTACAGGCTGTTTTAGCTTATACTCTCAGTTTATAATATTACAAATAAGACAAGGGCTGGTGAGATGGCTCAGCAGTTAAGAGCACTGACTGCTCTTCTAGAGGTCATGAGTTCAAATCCCAGCAACCACATGGTGGCTCACAACCATCTGCAATGAGATCTGATGCCCTCATATGGGTGTCTGGAGACAGCTACAGTGTACTCATAATAAATAAATAAATAAATAAATAAATAAATAATCTTAAAAAAAACAAACAAAAAACAAATAAGACAATAAAACAACCAGCCCCCTCCATTTGATGTATTGATTATGCTTCTGACATGGGAGATATTGCTGCTTGTTTATATAAAAAGTTCTTGTTCCCATTAATTAACCACACTAATTCTTTGTAAAATTTTAAGTTAGAGTCTCTGTGTGTGTGTGTGACATGCATTGGAGGACTTTTGGTACGTGTTATAGTGTGTGTGAGTGTGACATGCGTTGGAGGACTTTTGGCACACGTCTCTTCTCTCCTGGAGTCCTGGGGGTTCCTGCTGGGCTGTCAGGCATGGCAGCGACGGCCCTTACATGCTTAAGACATAGTTCAAGTCCTACTCGTGCTCTTAGAATCACCTGAAATTATTGAATGACGTCAGGAATGCTGAGCAATGACTGTAATCTTAGTATTTGAGAAGCTTAGGCAGAAGAAGGATTGCTTCAAGTTTGAGGCAAGTCTAAGCTACTTTTGGAAATTCCTGGCTAGCCTGCTGGCCTAAGAGTAAGACCCTGTCTCAAGAAAACAGAAGATTGAAAGAAGGTAGGTAATACATATATACCAAACTTAAATCCAGTGTTGAGTGTGTGTGTGCCTGTGCTCTTTATTTGGTTATTTGAATATCGAGGGTTTTTTGGTATGTCTTTTTTTTCTTCTTGTATTTTTCTAGACAGGGTTTTCTCTGTGTAGCCCCGGCTCTTCTAGAACTCACTCTGTAGATCATTCTGGTCTCAAACTCATAGAGATCCATTTGCCTCTCAAGTTCTGGGATCAAACATGTGTGCCATCACTGTCCAGTGAATATCAAGGTCCCCCCCCCCCCGCCAGGGTTTCTCTGTATAGCCTGCGCTGTCCTGGAACTCACTATGTAGACCAGGCTGGCCTCGAACTCAGAAATCCGCCTGCCTCTGCCTCCCAAGTGCTGGGATTAAAGGCGTGCACCACCACCGCCCAGCTTTGTTTTTTTGTTTTTTGTTTTTCCAGGGTATTGAGCATCTTGAAGAGATAGAGCAGTGTGTACAGGTAGAAACTGATGACTGTATTAACAGCATGTGTGCTCTCTAGGGGGAGCTCTGTGCGGTGTGGTCTGTGCAGCTGTCAGAGACGCACGCAGCATAATGACCCTTCAGTATGTTCACAACCTGCCAATTTCTGCTTAAATTTGAGTCCTCAGAGACTGACAAACCTGAGACACAAAATAGTCAATTTTAGATTTCAAATATCAATATTTAAAAAATGTAGACTTTAGGTAGTTAAGAGGTCTACAGAATTACCCATCTATTCTTTCTTGCTTGTGAACTTTTGTTGTTGCCTAGTGTAGACTAGGTACTGTGTAAGGTTTTGTGAAGGACAAAGTAGTGTCTTCTCTTTGGCCAACACAGAAACAACCAGAAACAAGTTATTATTTAGCTCTGCTTATTTTTTAGGTGTGCTGCTAACCTGAAGCTATGATCTCATCATATGATGATTATTATGGTATTTTTTACCTTTTATTTTTTAAGTATTTATATTTAAACTTTTATGTGTGTGGATGGGTGTTTTGCCTGTGTGTATGTCAGTATACCACCTATGTGCCTGGTGCCTCTAGAGACCACAAGAATGCGTTGGGTTCCCTGGAACTGGAGTTACACATGGTTGGGAGCTGCCATGTTAGTGCTGAGGACTGAGTCTGGGGCCTGTAGAAGAGCTGCCCAAGCTCTTCCTCATCTCTCCAGACCTTAAATATTTTTTAAGACTAGAAATAGCCAGGCGGTGGTGGCACACGCCTTTAATCCCAGCACTTGGGAGGCAGAGATAGGCAGATTTCTGAGTTTGAGGCCAGCCTGGTCTACAGAGTGAATTCTAGGACAGCCAGGGCTACACAGAGAAAACCTGTCTCGAAAAAACCAAAAAAAAAAAAAAAAAAGACTAGAAATAAACTTGTCTTGACATGAAGAAGGACTCTACAAAAATCATGTTCCCATGTATGAAAATAATATGTATTTATTTGTTCAAGTACATTGGAACAGTTGAGGGTGTAAATAATACTGATACTTAAACTCAGAGATTTAAATTCTATTGAGCTGTTTGCTGTAATTGTGCTTAGCAGCTTCTGCTAGAAAGAAGTCAGTTTGGTACCTACTATGCCATTGTTCATAGAGAACCAAGAGCTAGAAAGGCCTGACTGACATCAGTAGCTGACCATAGATGAACCTTCAAAACATCATGCTTAATAAAGAACCAGATATAAAGGGAGAGTATTATATAATTCTATATATACGAAATATCTAGAATAAGCATTCTTAGTCAGGAAATAGATTAATAGATTTATAGATTTACCAAGTGTTGAGGGAAGAAACCAGAAAATAAAGTTTTTGTCTGGCATGGTAAATCTTGGAAACAGACAATATCTGCCTGCTTCTGCCTCCCCAGTACTGGGATCAAAGGTGTGTACCACCAGGTTGTCAGGCCAGTGCCTTTACTGCTGCACCATTTCATTGCCTTATATGTTTTCACACACACACACACACACACACACACACACACACACACACACACAGTGTCCTTTAAGGGCTTGAGACTAGTTCATAATTTTTCTTCTGACGGAGGCTAAAATTTTCTTCTTCTTCTTTTTTTTTTTTTTTGGTTTTTAGAGACAGGGTTTCTCTGTGTAGTCCTGGCTGTCCTGGAACTCACTCTGTAGACCAGGCTGGCCTCGAACTCAGAAATCTGCCTGCCTCTGCCTCCCAAGTGCTGGGATTAAAGGCATGCACCACCACTGCCCGGCTAAGCTAGTACTTTTAGCCTTGTTTGTAACCTGGACTTTTCAATACAGATGCCACTAGCCAGATATAACTATAAACTATTGAGTACTTGATCTGTGGTTAGTTTGAATTGACATGTTATGTAAGTGTTACATACATATTGACTTTCAGATTTAGTATTAAAGAATGTTACCATATTCATTTATTTATTGAATAACATTTGGCTATATTAAGTTACAACCTGTTTTTACTTTATAAAAATGTAGCTACTAGAAAGATTTAAGTAGTTATAGTAATATGTTATTATACTTATAATACTAGTTATAACGATATATAATTTTTAATAGTTACAGGCTCTTGCATTTGTGCCTCATCTTTCATTTTGTTTGTTTGTTTTTTTGACATGAGGTTTCTCTGTATAGTCTTGGCTGTCTTGGAACTCACTTCTGTAGACCAGACTGATCTCTTAACTCAGAGATCTGCCTGCCTCTGCTGCCTGAGTGCTGGGACTAAAGGTGTAAGCCATCATTGCCTGGCTCCATCCCTTATTGCT